TCATCAGAAAGACGTAGATTTTGTCAGAACCAGTGTTGCACTATTTGGGCTTTTCATGAACAAAAATTCTTCAGATTGCAGCAATGAGCGTATCCGAACACCACTCCGAAATTCGGAAAAAAGCTCGTAAAAATAAAACTAAAATTGATAAGTTGATTCCTTGAAACTATGACTAATTGCATAGTACATAAATCAAATCCAAGCGAATAACCAAAATTTCTGTGTTATGTGCCGCATATATAATATGGTTCAAGATGACACACGGGTTGATGACGTCAGTTACACGAATCGCTTGAACGCGTAGGTTTTAACCGCGTTGCAAGTTGTTTAATTTAGAAAAGCGCGTATATAATCTCAGATTATTTTTCTTATCACTTAATAATCGGTGCTTTTTCGTCTACAACTGTGTATGGAAAATTTAAATAAGAAACCTTTCATAATATTCATGGGAGAAATGCTTTTTTTCAGAATTTTTTTTTAAATGATGGAACCATTGCTTTGTAGCTATGATAACTTGCAATTCTCTAAAGTTTTCCCCATGTCAAAGAAAACATTTATTGATTCAGCAGAAATGATGAAAAAAGAAATTAGCAAAACCATATACAGGTGGACATCATCTAGTGAGTTTATATGGCCATATTTTAATATTCTTGTGGTATATGGCTACACAGGATACTTTGTTAAGCATAGGAACTACATTTAAAGTGTCCCCAACAACAGTAATGAGTATAACTAATTAGGTGCTCCACTTTATGGTAAAACTGAAGTCAGCCTGTATCAAGTTTCCCAAAAATGAAGCTGAAGTACAATATCCAATACCCGGCAAAATTCTAACTTGTCATATTTCAAATAATAACCAGAAATATAACACTACTCCTGAGTTGGGTAAATACCACAATTTTTCAGTGATAACTATGACATATAACAGCTGATTAATGACGTCACGGATCTTATAACCAAGCTCATAACCACACTCGCTTGAACGGATCGGTAAATACCAACAAAAAATGGTAAATACCATTTTCATTTGGTTATCCGCCTGAATTTGATTATAGCCAAGATGGGATACCGTAGCGTCATCTATGAGAATTTTTCACAGATTTTTCTCTATATTTACTACATATACTTTGAAAAGGTTAGTGTGCCATAAATGGCGCTGTCTATATGATTATACATACATACATACAGGTGGCTACAGCGCCATCTATAAGACACTAACGTTTCCAAAGTATATTTAGTAAATAGACATCTGTGACAAATTCTCATAGAAGACGCTACAGTATCTCATTTTATCTCGGATAATTTTTTAGAAGGAATAGGTACAGCCTACAGCTACAGCATTTGGTTTGCTAGCCTCTAGTAGGGTACATTAACCAATGCTAATTAACAATTGGGAGGGATACATATTATATTTTAAGCTTTGAAGTTTCTCAATACAAAATTTCTAACTAGTAATATAACTTCCGACCCACCTACAACAAAAAGCCAACTATGGACAGCTGTTTCGTGTTTTTTGGCAACTCATCAGCATGGTCTAGGCTTGGTCTCAGATAGAATAACGAACGAAAGCTGATGTTTATCCATAAGGTCTATCGAGACAAGACAGCACAAAATGCCATCTGTCACCAGAATCGACCACTGCGAGAGTGAAAACAGCAAGCTGTCTGTATGAACTGTATCCCAGTTCGCATTTGACAGCCGGGACAGCACTGTGACCGCTAGTTATCGCAGATTCTGGTGGTAAATTAGATGCGGTCTACTCCCGTTGAACAAACTAGGGATATAGGGTCCGTCGATTCTGGTAATAGATGACACTTTGACCTGTCTTATTTCGATAGATAGTTGTTCGGCTTTCGTTGGTTGTCCTACCTGAGACCAAGCATAGTCCATGCTGCTGAGTTGCCAAAAAGTACTAAACAGCTATCCATGGTTGGCCATCTCCGGTCGCACAGACGGAAGCTATATTATTAGTTTGTTCAACGGAGAGTAGAGCGTATCTGCTATACCACCAGAATCGGCGGCATCTAGCGGCCACAGTGGTAATCCGGCTGTCAAATACGAACTGAAATACATTTCCAACTCACTCGCATTATCGCAATGATCGAACATGGTAATGGATGGCACTTTGTGCTGTCTTATTTCGACAAAATTTCTATTTCTGACTCCTGTGAATGCACGACACAAGTAAACGGAAATCGGTCTAATGAGGTAACTTGGAAAGCTGATTTCAAATGTGGCCAAAAATGCCGCTAAACCCTATTTGAAGAGCAAAATGAGGTTTTTACGGACACGCACCCGATGTACCTAAGAAACGGATTTTAGCCGATGGTACAGATACGCAAGAATTTTTCTTTTTTATGTTTTCTACTTTCTGGTTTTATCAGATGAACGACTATCGTACCTCTTCATTTTTGACTTTTTCTTGTTTTCGCTTTGAGGATTTTGATTCCTAATTTCTCTCTTAATCTTGTTGCTTTATTTGCCTGCGAAACAGTGGGCCTGTTCATATCATAAATAAGCAACCCTTGTGGCAGCTTCATATCCGAATCAATAACATATAGCAATAGTTTCTCTAACATGCTTTGATGAGTTTGAATTTTTGGCAATACAGGCACAGTTCTGGTTGCACCTTCTTCAGAGTATATTTTTTTGGTATTTGGTATCTTCATCTATCTTTTTGTTGTATGCCCAAAAACATTAGAACATCAAATTCGATATTTCCGCACCCCGAGAAAGGAGTTAATTTCCATATATCTACATAATCAAGAATTTTTGAAAATGACGTTTTACCCAGACTCGTTCCATTTTAAACTCATTTTCTAGAAGAGGAAATATATTTCTTTATATACCTACGTGTACGTTTTTTTTTTAGCTATCCACTATTTTTGTATATTTTTGCGTTTCGGTTGGTGAAAAATGCCATTTATTCAAGCAATGGATGTTACAGTATTATAACTGATAAAATAAATAAAAATCATATATGCCGTGACACCCCAAGAGGAAAAGCAAAAATTTTGGGGGTTCTTTCTATATTTCGAGTGAGAAATGCATCTAATGATATAACAGCGGAAAATAAGTTTTTTTGGCGGATGGCTGCTCGATCAAATTAATTTTTCCAGTTGTTATCTAGACCACCGTATACGTAGTATAATAAAGTTTATATTCAATTGTTCATCAGATGACTATGTTAAAACGAGTAAAGATTAAGAACTGTAGGTAGGTATGTAAGGTTCCGGAACGGCCTCTAAAATGTTAAAACTCAAGAATCTTGAAAATGTATTTACCAGTTTGGCCCTTTCCCAGAGTTTTCTCCAGCCTGTACGGCCCAACATATTGGTGGACCTCCGGAGATGGATTGGAGTTTTCCTTCTGCATCTTGGCCGTTTTTGATGGTCCTCACTCCTTCATGTCACAAATTCACTGCCGTCTTCGAAACGCCGAAGATCTGGCATAAACGCGAACCTCTTAGGACAACCATCTTTTCCATTTTGGTCTCCCGGAGCCGATTCTCAGGTACGCGAACAGGTGTAGAACTGCTCTAATTTTTCGTCCGCGGAAAAATCGCTGGCGGAAACCTCGCGAAAAACCATTGGAAGCCTGCACTCTGAGCTCGAATTTTCAAAGTCTTCTAAGCTCCTGTTTTTATCTTTTTTTATGTTTTCCGACGATGCTGCGGTAAATTTTGGACAGCATTTTCACGCAATTTCGCGAAAATCTACTGTACTGATGTTGGTAAGGGGTGGCGTAAAATCAATAAACTGGGGACCGTGTCAGAGGGATGAAATTTCCCTAGATATGCGACAGCCCTTAATATCCCCGCGCTACATATTTGAATGCATCATTTCTAAATCTTAAACCTTTACTGAAGTTGTAAGCCTAATAAAATTATTTTCCTTGCTGTACGGATCTCTTATCAATATCATTCCTGGGAAGGAGAGTTAATATTAATTGAAATAATTGATTCTATGCGCATATTTTTTCATGTTTTCGTACCTAAATTTATTTTATTCTGATGCATCATCGCAAATGAAAATGTATAATTTTATTTGCTAATTTCAAATTTTGGAAAAGAAAATGTAGGAAAAAATAAAATCAAATGGTGCATAGGCAGCCAGTGTTGCAAAAGTTTTGAAAAAAATATGCGACGTTGTCAGACTTTTTTAGGAAACCTATCGGTGTGGATAGCGTCACGACTTTACAAACATAAACGATTTGTGCACCGCCAGGTTGAAATTTGGCTGACGTCGTAATAAATACGATAGAGAAGTGTATGTTAGAAAAAGTGCGCCCATGGGATCCGTCGCTCCGTTCTCGGGTTGCTAGGCAACAAAGTGCTTCTATCTCTTTCTAACACACGTATTGCAAGCTTCTCGGGCTTCTCTCTCGCACACATTACGACGTCAGTGGTATTTGGTTTTCAGTGTATAACCATTGAATAACGTAATTTAGATAACCAACCATATATTGTATTCATCATCCAAAAAGAGATCTAAAAGGTATATATGACGTTAGGACGTGCACTTCCTTTTTAGTGCCTCACCAATGCCTACTTTTATTGAGTATCGGCAGATTGAATGCGGTAATCAGTACTTGAAGATACAGTTAGGCATAAAAAAGGCGTCAAAAAGAAAAAGGTATTGAAGGGACTAGCTCTATCTCGGAGACAGTAGCAGTACCAAATACGCCAACTCTTTTCAAACTTCTTTTGGATGCCACAATACAGTAGGTTATCTATATTAATATATAGCTGTGCGACCAATTGCTGTGGAACTTATAAACCACATATTTCATAGCTCCGTATGTCGAACAGTGACGTACAGTGATCATTCTAAGTCGTTGTGTTTTCTGCTATGTGGATGTAGAGTAATAGCAAAATTGCCATAGTGCTATTCGTCCATAAGCCTTCATGTCATGTGACCTACATCTAATTCACATATTCTTTCTTGTCTTATCGACTTTTTTACAACTTTCGTAGAAAGAAAACTATATTCTATCTATAGGAATTGGAGCCTTAGCCACGTCCATCCGGGAAATATTCTATGAGGATCTAGCAACACGGCACTTACGTCACTTGGGGTCAACGCCGATAGGTGACTTTTACCTCTGTTATATTAAAAAACGGTAAAAAGTAAATATAAACAGTAACTACTGCAGAAAATTATGACATATACTGAAGACTACATTAGGAATAAACTACAGAAAGAGCTGAATGCAACACATGTGGTAAGCAAATCTCTAATTTTAAGGCCGCGCGGCAAAACATAACCTCTCTATTTTATCGATCTCGTCAAATGGCAGCCACATCAACATCCACTTTTCAAGCGTATTTTGAGTAAAGTTCACCAAAATCCCACGCAATGTACGAGATGAAAATCACCGCAGAATATGCGGAAAAGTGATACAGTGCACTGTGCAAAATGGTAGCGCTTAAGCTAAGTTGTGAAGCATGGCTGGTAATTTTTGGGGGTTTGCTGGCCGTGCTGCTGCGGGCAAGCACGGGGCTGCACCCTTATTCGGGAGAAGCGACACCACCTATGTACGGAGACTATGAGGCGCAAAGGCATTGGATGGAAATCACCACAAATCTTGATGTTACTGAGTGGTATCACAATACTTCTCATAATGACCTTCAATATTGGGGTTTGGACTACCCCCCGCTCACAGCTTATCACATGTACGCCTGCGGTAGTATTGCGAAGTTTCTCAACGAGAATTACACAAAGTTGCACGACTCCAGAGGGTATGAAAGTGAGGGCCACAAGTTGTTCATGAGATACTCTGTGCTGATTTCTGATGTATTGATATTTTTGCCTGCAATTATTATCTACTATTGGCTGACTGTACCTGATGATAAAGGGAAGAAAAAGAAGAAAGAGCAAGGTATTGTGCCACTAGGACCTTCAACATCTATTGTGCTAGCTTTATTATACCCAGGAATCATCCTTATTGACCATGGTCATTTTCAATATAACTGTGTCTCTCTAGGTCTAGCAGTACTAGCAGTAACAGCTCTATTATGTGAAAAAGACATTATTGCCTCATTTTTATTTTGTCTAGCTCTAAATTATAAACAAATGGAGCTATACCATGCCCCACCATTTTTCTTCTATCTCTTAAGTACTTGTGTTCCTAAGCCTGGTCAAGGCACATTATCAGGCTTACAAAAACTGAGCAAGATTGCTGCAACTGTTATTTTTACTTTTACTGTGATCTGGTTGCCATTTCTTTTTAGCATAAATGATGTTTTACAAGTATTGCATAGGCTGTTTCCTGTAGCTAGAGGAATTTTTGAAGATAAAGTCGCAAATATATGGTGTGCATTGAACATATTTTATAAGTATAGGGAAGTTGAAAATACAAAAATGGTTAGAGCCTGTTTGACAGCAACAGTATCTGCATTAGTGCCTTCTTCAGTTGATTTGTTTCTCCGTCCAAATAAAAAGAAGTTTGTACTAGCATTAATCAACTCTTCTTTGGCATTTTTCCTTTTCGGATATCAGGTACATGAAAAGAGCATACTTTTAGCTGCTGTACCTGTATTGTTATACATGCCTTTTGATCCTATAGCTTGTTTTTGGTTCCTATGTTTAACTACCTTCAGTATGAGCCCACTTTTGCTTAAAGACAGGCTCACTTTAGCTGCATTTGCTCTGAAGATTTTCTTCATGGTATCTTTTAAAGTATCTGCTGATCATGTACAACCTCAGTTCAGTTGGGCAGGGTATTACAGAAACTTGCTTCGTACTCTATTGAATGTAGAATATAATAAAACCAATGCATTTAATGTAATAACAGTGACATATGATCACTTTAAAAAGAACAGTGAAGCAGTTATAGCTTTAGCATTGCATGTTATAATGAGTATCTCCCTGACAGGTGGTACACTGTTAAGTATTGCATCATTAATATTGAAACCATCAGAGAGATATCCTGATTTATATCCTTTACTAACATCAATTTATTGTGCTGTACACTTTGTGGGTTTTTTTGTCTATTTCAATATAAAGCAACTCAATATACCTCAGCAGGATGAAGATGTAAAGAATGTTAAGTTTGATAGTTCATGATAAAGTGTACTCCAATTTTTTATAAATAAACATTGTTGCCATATTGTTGTTTTATTTTTGTGTTTTGTCCATCTTATATTTGGTTTCTGGTATCAATGTGCTGGTAGACAGGTAGTAGAATTATGATGTTCAGTAGCACCTAGCTGTTAAAAACTGATGCTGCATGAAGTATGGCTTGCTCAGTTAAGGTAATCTGGACAACTAGTACAGATCAGCATAATCTGTTTCACATGTGTGACTGTTAATCAATCTCAAGGTTTTCCAAACTTTCAAAATGGCCCATTCAGATAATATTTACCAGACTAGGCTAAGCAATGCCTCGTGCAGTGCTAGCTCATAGCAGCTAGGTGTAACTGAACATTACCAATGTTGAAATATGAACAAATTAATACCCAATCCTCCATATTTGTCTGGCGAATCAATCTTCATGTGTTTAAAATCCTCCATGGTAAACGATTTGGTCCCAAGATTGACCTCCTTCGGTACAATTGACACTTTTCTGATAATTGTACTGAACAACGTCACTATTGGGACTGAAACAATAAAGAAGAATTTTAAACCCATACAGTTTGATTGGCCAGACATGAACCCACAGGATAAGTTACATATGTTACTTTAAATTGATACCTGTGCCAATTTTAACTAAGTGGTACAAAAAGTAAATCTGAGTCTTCATTACTCGAGAGGACTGACATTTCATTTAAGATCGTGTTGTTTCCGTAAAACAAAGTGCGTAGAATAATCTAAAATCATTTAACTGGCCCAATCTAAGATTTAGGATGGCTTAACATAAATAACCTGTTCAAATATTTGTTTTTGTCATTTATAAAATTTATTATAACCACTTATTCACCACTAAGTTTGTGAAACAAGCAACATTTAGAATAAGCATTCATGATAAATTTAAGGTATATGACCCAAGACATCGCATAGCCATGTTTCAGCGTTCTTACTCATATAACGCCGCTAAAAATTACATTGCATTAGACATCAATATTAGGAATGCAGCAAATCATAAATTTTATTCGCTATGAAAACAAAATATTTTAAACACGCAGTAACACAGAAATTTTGGTAGCACTTAATACTGGATATGTTTTATCTACACAGTAACGCAAATATGTTAGAAGGGTTGAATGCTTTAACAAGTAAACAGGAACACACATTATTATAATCTATAGTTCATACAAATACTTAGTTTAGACTTTTTCATATTTCCATGGCTAGATTCCACAATTTGCATCACACTTTTTAATCTTATGTTGTGATGTTAATGATGCAATGGAGACATATTAGTATTATAATAATTCATTGCTGTTTAAGACCCTGGACTAAAATCAAACTTTCAGAATATGTATTTATATGTAACAATATTCATTATTTCACAGTAACATGTTTCTGCTAAATATATTATCGGCCGCCTACGACGCATGAACATAAAAAATCGCTTAAATAATTTCATTACATTGATATTCTTGATAGCAAAGTATGGTTTGTGTTAAATGTACATACACTCGCAGCATATTTTTATCAACTGCCTTATCTATACGAATTATTTTTCATATTTATATTTCCAGGGAGTAGTGGATGAGTCTGATGGCTGTGGTGGGAAGTTCTCTTGTATCATAGTTTCAGAGAAGTTCAAAGGGAAGCCCTTGTTGCAGAGACATAGGTGATATTTTCAACATGATCAAAATTTTATACTCGATCGTTATCCTATAATACCTCAATTATTCGGTATAAAAATGTGTTACCTTTAAACGATTGGGAATTTTTTAGTTATTTTTAAAAGAAAATATTGGCTCATTGACGTATATCATACTGAAGTTGGAGGGGCAAACATTTGCGAGTTCGCCCACAGTTTTTTTTTTAATGGATGGGTGTCTGTAATCTGATACTTGATCGCGATGTGAATTTTTTGTAGGGTGGGACCTTAGTATCTTTTGATGCCCAAAACTAGCATCCCAAATTACTCGAATTCAATTGCATACGCGGTCTGTAAATTAAGTGATGAGACTGATTTTATTATTTTTTTTATTCAAATGTAACTACCCTTTCATATTATCACCCTCAAAATAACTTCCTTCTGAAGTCATACAGCTCTGGAGACGGTTCTTCCACTCCTCATAGCAGTGCTGGAACTCGGATATTGGAATAGCCTTCAGCTGGTGGGCTACAGCCGTTTGAATGTTTTGAATGTCCCTTGAGTTGATTTTCCAACTTGGGGAAGAGAAAAAGTTACAAAGACAAAAGTCAGATGAATAAGGAGCGTAGGAGCCACAGGAATGCTTACTCGCTTATTGACATTTCTGTGTGACAAGGAGCATTATCTGATGAACGGTGGTGTATATCAAATTTAACTGTTCCCCGATCATTCTGACTGTCAACCGACGATCTGAACACACAAGATCCCGGTTTCTGTCGATATTTTCATCGGTTCTTGAAGATGAAGTCCTTCCGTTTCGTGGTTCATCGTCAATCAACTCGCTCCCTTCTGAAAATGCCTTAAACCACCGAAAAACCTGTGCTCTTGACAAAATACTAGCTCCGTAGGCCTGCTGAAGATTAGCAAGAGTTTCCGTTACACTTTGCCCAGGTCTGAAGCAAAACCTGGTATCGCAACGTTGCTATAAATTAGTATCACTCATTTTTAGAACACTAGAAGAAACTGTTTCACAAAAAAAATCGCTACATACAACCAAATGACTGGAGCGAGTTCAAACTTGTACTGAAAGTGGATCACATATTCCCGTGTTTCCCCTAGAAGCCCGGCACCACCAGTGTTGCCAGCTCAAACGCTACGTTGTCAGTCTCATTGCTTAATTTACAGACTTCGTACTACTGACGAAAATTTTCATAAACTCGTATGCATTTGAAACCTTGACCACAACTCGATTCCCCGGTAAATCGATAGGTCCCGTTTTCTTACTCCAAATCGGTCTTCAACCAGCTCTTATATACGCCTATGTGCCTATGCTGAATATTCGGTTGATTTTTAGATATTTTTGTTAATTGTTATTTATTAAATAGGCTGGTGAATTCAGTTCTCGAAGAAGAACTAAAAACTATCCACGCTTTCTCTCAGAAAACGTACACTCCTGAACAGTGGGAGGAAGAAAAAAAGAAATAATGTCCGCCGAAATCGTCATTGGCGAGCAGGTAGCTCTGCCTGAATTCAAAAAAGTTGGTAAGCTGAATATTTTCTATTTTCATGAGTTACACTATTCAAACCTCTTCTGCACCGAGTCAAAACAAACATGATCACTCAATCGTCGCTTCTACTCGCTTATGGCTCCTGACCAAGGCATTTATGGCGCGAATTTAAAGATCGTCTGCTGGTGTTTGTTTTGACATTTGAATTGAATGAAGTATGAGTAGATGTTTCAATAGAATCGTTTCAAACTCTAGGGGTGCCAGTCAAGGTCTCAGCCCCAGGAAAAATTATCCTCCATGGCGAGCATTCTGTTGTTTACGGAAGATTGGCATTGGCAGCGAGCATTGGTTTGCGCACCACCGTCGAATTATCCGAAATAGATATTCCGAATTTATTCGTCGTTCAATTACCTTCAGTGAAATACGTTGGTACTTTCGATATGCAGGTGAGTTGTCTCATTCCATAGAAATATTCAGTTATCAGTAGCGTGTTCTTTTGGTGAAACTAGTTTTTCCCTGGTGCATAGTTTAAGTTCTTTTGACAAAACCACTATGTACGAGGAAGGTCCGATGAGTACTTAGCCTACAAAAGAAAAACGATTTATTTCTCGACATAGTCTCCTTTCAGCCCGATACACTTGACCCAGCGATGCTTCAACTTCTTTAACCTGTTTGAAAAATACATTTTCTAGATGTCTGCAAATTAGGCCTTCGGGGCGGCGTTAACCCCATCACTAGACTCAAATTTCTGCCCGGCGAGTGTCTTTTCCAAGTTTGGAAACAAAAAGAAGTCGCACGGGGCCAAATCTGAAGAATACGATGGATAGGGTAGCGATTGGTAGCCTAATTTGGTCGTGGTGACGGCGGAGGTGTGAGCCAAACGGGGCCGTTTTGACTGCAATTCGACGTCGAATCGGCCCAATAATTCGGCATAGTAGAACCCTGTGACCGTGACCGTGAATCCCAAAAAACCGTGACACCTAAGCCCAGATTTGCACGATGTGTATAAATATAATTCAATATACCATTTGAACATACAAGGTGTCCTGAATAATATAGATGAAGTTCGACAGTTTTTAGGATGGAGAAAATCACGGGTATTATGTCTTACCGAAACATGCTACAGAATACATCACTGATGGTGAATTAGTAATAAAACCTACAGATGCAACTTCAACGCCAGACATACTGGAGATGTAGTGATTTATGTTTACCACAAAATATGCTCAGTTAAATTATTCGATTGTGCCACTTAAGACTATACATACTGGTATGCACATATACAGTTCAAATTTATTGGGCAACGTTATGACCTTTGTACTTTTTACCGTTCACCAAACAGTGATACGAATGCATTTTTGATGTTTTTTGAAAAATGTGGTAATTTAGATACAATATAATACTTTTAGGTGATTTTAATTTAAATTATTATAGCACCAGCATGAAAACAAGGAAATGGGAAAAAACCATAAATGATTATGGGTTCAAGCAAAAAATTTAAGAGAGTACAAGAGTAACATCATTTTCAGCGTATTTGTTAGATCTTGTCATTGTAAATTTCAAATGGGATTAAAGCTATACACAGACGTAAAGTTAGTGATCACAGTTGGACAATGCTGCCCTTGGTAGGACATTTTCTTGAACATTAAGAAAATCGTGAATACTGTTAACTACGACAAACTTGAACGAGAACTTGCTGGCGGCTATTGGAATTTTCGTGAGAATATGGAAAAAATATATGACAACACAATAGATAATACAATAACTTGTTTAGATCTTGCAACTGATGGAAAGGTGATGCACTCAACAAAAAATACACCCTGGTATAACAAAAATATTAAGGCAGCTCAAAATTTGATAGACAAACAATATAAAAAATGTATATTCACAAAATCAAATGATGATTGGGAGGTATATGAAACTCTTAGGAATAAATGTTTGTATGTAATTAGGGAAGAAAAAAGGAAATTCTACGATAAACAAATCGACAATAACAAGTGCGACAGTGTAAAGGTGTAGAAAACTTTAAAAAGACTGATTAATTCGAAGCTGCATGACTGTCTAAATCAAGTTCAATTCGAAAACTGTACCGAAACAAGTTCCTTGGTGATTGCAAACAAACTAAATGGTTATTTTGTGGAAAGTATTCTTGATATTATGGGTGCTGTCAGTGCTGCACCTGGCTATATGAAAATCCAGAGGAAAGTGTTGCATACACTTTCAAAATTTCATAGTGTATCATTGAACTATCTGAGTAAAAAAATAAACAGTTTAAAATCCAACAATAACAGTACCGACATCACTCCTAAACACGTGCTAAAAAAACTGTTTCGAAATTTTGGGATATCCTGTATTAAATTGGATCAATTGTTCACTGAGAAGGAGTTCTTTGCCCTGTATTAAATTGGATCAATTGTTCACTGAGAAGGAGTTCTTTGCCTCAAGATTTGAAATGCTATACAATAACACCAGTTGCCAAAATAAAAAATTCTAAAATATGCAGCGATATGAGACCAGTAAATGTGTTACCAGACATTGAAAAATTATAGTCCATAGTGCATGCTCAATTAGAGCAGTTTATAGAAGAAAACAAAATTTTAGTGGAGGCGCAAGCAGGCTTTCGCAAAAAATATTCCACAGAAACGGCTTTCCAGTTGGTTAGTGAGAATTCGAGAAGAGCCATCGACTCAGAAGAAGTCATCCCAGTAATTTTGGATTTGAAGAGGGCATCTGAAACGATTGATAGAGATATTTTGTTAGGTAAATTGAAAGGATGTGGTATATCAGGAAGTGGTTTAGATTGGTTGGTTTAAAAATTATTTGTCTAAAAGCATGTAAGTTAAAAAAGTTAATGACACCATTTCATCAAAAATTGAAAATACGTTAGCGGTTCCACAGGTCAGTATCCTGGGACCACAACACATGTTAATCGAAAAAAAAAACAATACGCAAATGTTCAACTAAATATTGATGGTGAAGATATTAAATTCATAGAAAATTTTAAATACCTCGGGGTTTTTGTTGACTCTCGATTAATTTTTGATATTCATTACAAAAAAGTTATAAATAAGATTAGTAGTAAAGTGGAATGATTATCAAGAGTTTCTGGATGTCTGAGTTCATATACCAGAAACATTATCTATAATACTATCATTCTTATAAATATAATAAATAAAGTTAAATATACACCAATTAGACAAATGTTTAGAAAATTAAAATGGCTCAATGTAAAAAATTTTATCCGATATATTGTAATGATATTCATTCATAACGTAAAAAATAATATATTGTGTGTTATGTCTAACTAATTTAACATCATCAAATGCCGACCATCATTTACATAATACCTACCAGAAATAAAGATGACTTCCATTTAATATCCAAAAAGTATAAGATATGCCACAAATCTGTATTCCATCAAGGATTGATTGAATATGATAAATTATATACAGAGATAAGGGACCAGAAAACTTTGACATAATTCAAAGTAAAATTGAGGAGTCACTTGCTAAATCTACAATTATAACTTGCCCAGCTTTTACATCATAAAATGGTTTAAATTTACTAATTCTAAGTTGTTTACAATTATTCTGTTTATGTAGCCAAACGTGCTAAATAAATATTTCTACTACTACTACCTGGGCGTGGCCCATCCAAAATCGCCGTGCGACAATTAAACCACTTCCTCCCGCGATCAAAACAAAACTACTTATCCGATTTGGCCGAAATTTGGCAGTAGACATCTACGAAAATGTACTACACGATAGTAAATTTCTCTTGCGGTACTGACGCCATCAGGCGGTCATATTAAGTACTTATCGGACCACCCTCGTATATTCATCTTCTTTTGACCGTACTTTAAACTGCATTTTGCAGTTTTTACTTGAGGCTTTGCGTGCAACAATTTCTTACAGAGTCTTTTCTCATCGTTGTCTCTTTTTCGAAGATTTACCATAAGAGCACAGGGAAGGAGAACGAAATGAATTAAAATTTTTCACTGACACGCGACGGTCTAGGAAACTGCATCAGTTTTATCAAAAGAAACAGACTCAAAACACTTTTATTCCTATCTGTGTTAAAATTTGTCATAGTTTCATTTTCATGCGTGTGTTTTACGCAACGTAGCTGATTTTAGTGTCATATATCTATTTCTGAACCATGAATAAGTAAAAAGTACCAGTAAACAAAGGCAACTAGACATAATAAGATTATCTTGTTTATCTTATCCTATGGGGTTCTCTCTGTGACACAACGCATCTACACTCGCACTATTCAAGCTTTAAAAGAAGTTTGCTGCACAGCATGAGGAAAAGCTGGAAAAGTTTCCATTGTGACGAAAAAATTGAAAGCCATTAGCTACATAATCGGGTATACGGTCAGGCTGACGTTGTAATGTGTACGAGAGAGAAGCGTCCAATATGTATGTAAGCAAGAGTGCCCCATTGGCGTCCGTGAACTCGGGTTATAGGCAACGACGTGCTTCTATCTCTTTCTAACACACGTATTGCACGCTTCTCGCGCACACATTTAGGAATCAGTGGTATTTGGTTTTCAGTGTATATGCGAGTACCCCTTGATTATCATATATGTGACAAAAACATACAGAACGTTGAGACTTTCCTTTTCAGAAACAATTACGTTTGAAGTAATAAAGTTAGTTTTCAGTAAAACAGCACCGAAAACCTAAACAAGAATTTTAATAAAAACACTTTCTGTTTTTTTTTTGTGTGTACGGTATTTCAAGTACTGCACTGTCACATATTTTGTAACTACTGCTTGAAGTTTGTCGCTGTTATTGCTAAATATGCAACGTTCGGGGCTGTCAACTAAGTTATTGCTATGTGAATGTGCCAATTTCGGTTTTCCAATGCGGTTTGGTTTTAAGCTAGGTTAACCTACACACCGCGCGGCGTCTGATTTGGATATGACTCATATAATCATAGTACCATAAAACAGCCTTTCATTTGACGTAGGAGGCTTTTTTAGTGTTTTTCGGCACATAAAATCTCGGTTATCTTAAGGCTTTGGTATAAGCTTACTGTTGGCTGACCTATACGCTCTGTAAAGGAAAGCCTCAACTTTGAGGTCTTGTTTATCTTTGAAATATTCTATGATTTCATGTACAGAAACTTAAGCATCACCTTCTGGAACCTCTGCTTCCGCTCACCCACGAGTCATCAATGTACTGTTGGGAATACCCAGATTTCATCCACCATGATGCTCTGACAGATCGTGTGATGGCCTTTCTGGATATGCACGCCACTCTTCCTCCTCAACATGCCTTATCCCTCAAAGCAGCCATATTTCTGATCGCTGGAATATTGGGGTCGTCAAATATAGATATTCCATCTTTGTCTTTACATAGTGAAACATCACTCACGATTGGTATGTACAGGATGTCTGAACCATAATTTTAACCCAAAACAGAATTTTTGAGGTATCCACAAGGTTCAGTTCTAATATTTATATTCTGTATATACAGGGTGACTTTGAAGTTGAGTCATTAATTTTCAGATAATGATTGTAGAAGGAAGATAAACCAAAATATGTGTGTAAAAATAAAAAAAACATTAAAAAAATGTTACCTTGTTTTATGAAGTATCCTCCCGACAAGTATTTCAGTGCGGACCTGTATTTGATCGTGCGGTCTTGGAGCACCGGCAGGCCCTCCCCTGTAAGGTCTTAAGTCTCCTGATTCACGAGCCCTTTGTACTATATTAACAAAGGCACGAGGGGTTGCACTCGATTGGGAAACCGATTCGCACAAATCCGTGATGCCGCGGCAGCATTTTGATCATGTCCACAAGTTCAGCATTTTCGTAAACATGTGCCATTTTTTATTTCGTTTGAGCCACGCAACAAACACCACTATTCACTCACGCGTTACCGACTGACGAAAAACATCGTGATAAACGTTTCAAATTCTTTCGCTTTTTTGTTTCCGATGCGATGAAGCGATAACGCGGATTATATCCGTTGTCGCCAGGGCTATAACTTTGTTACTTTAATTTTACCAGAAAAATGGTAAAGGAAAAAAACATTTCTTTTGATCAGATCTACTCACTGTTAAAATAAATGACTCAACTTCGAAGTCACCCTGTATATCACATTCACCATTGTAAAAAAATAAAATTATTACCATTTCGAATGTTTTATATTTTTGTAGGTGCTGGCACAGGAAGTTCTGCGTCGTTCCTTGTAAGTTTGGCCGCCGCCCTGATTCAGTACGTGAAAACAAAGAAAACGGGCGAAAACTTCTCGAAGCCTTGTTATAAGTCCAGTAACTGGAAAGTAAATCATGATTATTTCAGGATTGAAGAACTAAGTATGATCAGCCAATGGGCTTATTCTGCAGAGAGAATCATCCATGGGAATCCCTCAGGTATATTTGTTTATTTTTTGTACTTTGATTTTTTACCAATTTAAGCTTCTATTTCAGGTGTAGACAATTCAGTGTGTACATGGGGAGGCTTGGTGGAATTCCGTCGAGGGCTAGCTCCCAAACCCGTACCCTTAAGTTCATTAGGCACAATGAAATGTATGCTAGTGAATACGCGAGTCCCCAGAGATACTGCGCGCATGGTTGCCAAATTGGCTGCGTTGTACAAGAGTAGGCATGACATGGTGAACAATATTTTTAACGCGATGGAAGATGTGGCATTTTTGGCCTTGAAACAATATGAACTCTTAGGAAAAAATGAACCCGGTGTGCTCGAAGCAACGAAAGCGTATGAAGAGCTGGCAGAGTTGTGCTCTGTGAGTACACTGTAAAATTAGAATAATTACATCTTTGCCGATGGTGCTCACAGAATCATTTTTCTCATTATTTTGGAATATCTCATAATGCACTCGTAAACCCCTCCCTCTAGACACTCAAGTCTGTAAAGTGTTCAAATAAATCGAACCATCGATTTTGGTGTATCGTGGGAGCTCTCCAAGACATTCGTTTCAAAAAATGGTGCTTAATCATAACCTTCATCCTTCAAAACATTCAATCCCCGTTTGTACTCGGTTTCAGAAGCGCTGCTTAAGAACACCCGCATACGTAGTTTATGGCTATGTTTACATCTACGCTGGCTGGGCTCTGGAAAAGCCATGACAAATGGACAATAATTTTTAAACATCTGTTAACCCTTTGCACCCAGGTTTATTTTTTTAATAGTAGCATCGCTACCTTCAAGTGAGTGAGCAATTCAAACACTCCATTTTTTTAATCGAGTAGACAACCTTTATTGTGCTTGATACAAAGTTCCATATGGCAAGCTGAATGTTTCCCTAAGGTGCGTGTGACTATACTTGCTAATTCCATCAGTTAATCTATTACATTGTTGATAAAAGCCTAAATCGTATGCAACCTACTTTTCATAGTAGGTGATAAAGGGTTAAAAGACAACTCCTGTTACACAGTAAAAATCCAACTGTCATCATCTGATCACCTGTGTACAGGATTCTATCATGCTCTGTATCCAGATCTGTTGTATGTGCTTTATCCTGAATTAATGAAAACTTCTCTTTTTCAGACGAACCATCATCTTCTGTGCGCCTTAGGCTTATCCCACCCGCGTCTAGATGAGGCCCTACTACTTTTACATCGCCACGGTTTGGTTGGTGCTAAACTCACTGGGGCGGGAGGTGGAGGCCACGCCTTCGCATTGATACCGCCCTCGTACGACGATACGGTATTGGCCGAGATCTGCAACGAGCTGGCATTGGCCGGTTTTGGTGCTACTGTTGCCGAATTGGGCGGAGTTGGCGTTGATTTGGAACAATAAATTGGAGTAGTGGTTCTAAAGACGGTAGAAAGACTTCACAGGGTTATTATGCAACCTGTTGGTAGCATATATTGTACGACAGTTACTGTCTAACGTCCCAGATCATAGTAACCGCAAGATTGCGGCAAATTGCGATTTTTAAGGCATTTTATAGCAATTATCGTTTTATACAGCTACAAATCATGTAAACGGTTTGCCGGATCATTAGAAGTGTTAGGTATAGGGAGCTAGAGAAGATAAGCACTTTCAGACTGTAGTTAATACTTGGTAATTTTTTCCTCCTTACATACTCGTTTTTGCATAGTAGATGTATTCCCAAATATTCGTTTGTAAAACACAATAAATGTTATATTTTACTGTTTTTTTTTTAACTTTTGGGCGGCGTTTCCTAATACTAAATATTATCGACGCAGGCTATGCTCTGCTTTATGAAATATATTTTTTTACATACTTCTATACTTTATGTTTCTGGCAACGTTGCCCCTTTCCATATTGTCAGACGACATAAGAAGAACAATGAAGACGGGCGCTGAGGCAGATAGCAGGAGACCCACATCTCTATCATTCTAAATTTAATGACAAATATATGAGGAAACCTATAATGTGTGAAATATAGCTAATAGGTGCGAAGAATTACCGCCGCCCGGACCGTATAAATATACTAACATCAAACAATTCAGAGATATCCTCCACCATCCCCTAATTTTTCACCTCTAAACATATTTTCAAAAATGATCAGAATCCTCTGAAACAACAGAAGTCAGCGATTTTTACTTTTTTCGTTTTTGCATTATTCTCCGCCGCCATTGGACCAATTTTCAAAAACTGTAGAGCTTTTCCGTCCTTGGAATAACGGTAACCTTGTGTAAAAATTTCATCCACATCCGAGTGGGATCACAGCTAAGGCCCGTATCGTCCGTCGTCCCTACAATTGTAGGGCGCGTTTTTGGCATCCTTGATTGTCATACTCGTTTCTCTCCTTCAAAAATTTCTAGATTTCACTTGTCCCGTGTCAGCGTCAGCGCTCTCCTTTTGTGAAGATATGTTTTCTTTTTAAACTGTAGGAAATTTCAGGCTGATAAAACATGATATAACTCAAAAGCAAGCACAATTTGATGCAAATAGATGTTTGTGACATAACCTCAAAATAGAGTTCTGACACGGAGAAGTAGAAAACTATGACAATCAAGGAGGCCATAAAGGCGCCCTACAATTGTAGGGACGACTGACGATACGGGCCTAAGATAACAATCAGCTATGAAGCCTCCTGTCAGTGTCATTTCGGCGGAGAATGTCGAATGTAAATTCCCCTGTACAATAAGAGGTTTCAGCGTTCCGTTAATGTGCGTATCCACTGAAATTGTTGGCAACTTTTGTGTTCGCAACTGTTTGCAACTTTCCAAAAGTTCACCAACTTTTCTTTCCGTTGTGTCTCCACCAAATTGAGACAAATCGCCAACAATTTGAAAAACATTTCAGTTGATAACCAGCTGTCTCCACCAGTAGTATTGTTGGCAATATGTCTTCGAACGACGATGATATTATCCAGGCAGCGGCAATATTCATTATTTTAAGCAAAAAGAAACGGAAGCATAAATATTGGGTACGACCAAGCCTCAGAGAAAGAAAAGTACATGGAGGGATTGAGATATTAAATGCTTTGAGGAGAGATGACTTGTTAGCAAGCCGCATTGAAGATGGACAAATCAGAAACTTTCTTCGCATGACTGGGTCTGATTTTGAGAGGCTGCTTAGTCTCGTTGGGCCAAAAATAAAAAAAAATGATACTAATTATAGAAAAGCAATTACGCCTACGGAACGTTTATCAATCACTTTAAGATTCTTGGCTACTGGGGATTCATATACTTCGTTGATGTTTTTGTTTAAAATTTCAAAACAAGCGATTTCGAAAATCGTACCTGAAGTTTGTGCAGCAATCTGTAAAGTTCTGGAAGATCAAATTAAGGTAAGAACTGTTTCATTTTAAGTATTTTATTACTTAAACAAATCATCACATAGATAAAACTGAATATTGTCAAATAGAGTGCAAACTCAACTACAATTAATATTAGCACTATTTAGAGCCTCTAATAGAATACTTGATGACTGTTTATGTTCTGTTTGTGGTACTGTGATATGTGTCTGTTGTGATGCAAATGCTGGATTGTGGTGAAGTTGCTGGTGCGTAGTGCGCCATGAGTGGTTGTTCTGTTTGTGGTGTAGGTGGTGGTGCGTATTCTGGCGATGATGAATGTATCGAGAAATCTGTACTTGATGAATTTGTTGAAAATAGAGTCATTTATCTAGCAGCAGGATAATCATGTTTGCCGATGCTTGCTTCGAATAAAATATTTGATATTAAATGCTCTATCACATTTTGAGCATAGCTTGTTTTCAAAGCTTCTATTTTCGTTGCAACATGTTCCCCAAAAATAGAAAATCTATTGCGTGGTTTTTTAGCCTGAAGTTCTTTTAATACATTGTAAGCCTCTTCTTGCCTGTTGTCATAATTTGAAGTCTTCCTTTTTGACCCTTTTATATTTTTTCTAGTATCCGAATTGTTTGAACAACCTGGTTGTGGAACTGTTGTATCATTTGTATTTAATGATTCAGTAACGGATCTTGAGATATTTCTCCCTCTAAACCTTCCAGACTAGTATCATGGAAATAATGAAATTTATTATACAGCACCACAAAAAAAAAGTGAAAGGGACTCTCTACCAAACCTAGTACATTATAAGTTTTTGGGGTCGCTGAATCCGAATTTGGAGTCCGTTTAACCCCATCACGTCAGGATTTGGGTCCTTTGAAGGTCAAAGTACCTCGCACATGGGATTTCATATAGCCGTCAAATTGGCTGAAAATTTAACTGGCCACGCGACCTTTGACCTTTTGTATCTCTAAATCTATGGCTTTTGGGGCTTTGTGGCCATACGATTTTTTGATCAGGAAGGCATGCACTACAACAAACTAAATTTTCAGCCAATTTGACGGCTATATGAAATCCCATGTATTGTGTGCGTGGTACTTTGACCTTCAAATGACCCAAATCCTGACGTGATGGGGTTAAACGGACCCCAAATTCGGATTCAGCGACCCCAAAAACTTATAATGCACTTGGTTTGGTAGAGAGTCCGTTTCACTTTTTTTTTGTGGTGCTGTGTTATTGAATATATACTAAGTGACATATAAATCCGAACACCCAGTTTAAATGGTTTTATTTTAATAAAAGTTGGTGAACTGTAAATAACAAGTGAAAAAATTTTCAGCCTTATCAGTTGGACATTCCGGTTTTTATACTGCTTTTTTTAATTCACTAACGCTCTAAAAATGAATATTTCAGCCGCAGTAAAGAATCAACGTTGGCGGATTTTGGTTCTTGACATCCTTTACGATCGGTTACGATGCCTAGAGTACGGAGACCTGTACGATTTCGTCAACTTAGTGAGCTTGATAGGGGCCGTATGGTGGGACTTCGGGAAGCTGGACTTTCTTTTCGGGCAATTGCAGTTAGAGTGCAAAGAAGTGTAGACACTGTGGTTAGGTGTTGTCAGGCATGGCTTCGAGAAGGCCGTACGCAAAGAGCAAGGGGCACTGGACGCCGCGGTAGAACAACAGACCGTGAAGATCGCCGCCTAAGATTATTGGCCTTAAGGGACCGTTTCTCCACTACCAGGTCCATTGCAAATGAATGGTTTGCAGAACACGGAAGACCTATTGGCATGCGAAGTGTTTACCGACGAAGGAGAAGTTTTGGCTTGTTTTCATACCGGCCACACTGGGTCCTAGCTTTAACTCGAGAACACTGTCGTTGAGTGGTGCAGACAATGGTCACTCTGGGATCAGGAATGGAACAGTATTGTCTTTAGTGACGAGTCTCGATTTTGTTTAGGCATGCACGATGGTCGTGCCAGGGTTAGAAGGCGACGTGGTGAAAGGAGGAATCCACAGTTTTTTGTTGAAAGACATGTTCATCACACTTTTGGAGTTATGGTTTGGGGTGCTATAGCTTATGGTTCCAGGTCACCTTTAATCTTCATCAGAGGTAACATGAACGTGCAGCGTTATATCCACGAAGTTCTAGAACCTCATCTTTTACCCTATCTTGACACCCTGGCAGATCCAACTTTCCAACAAGATAATGCCCGACCACATGTTGCAAGAGTCACAATAGACTTCTTTCAACATAATGATGTCACATTGTTACCATGGCCACCAAGATCTCCCGACTTATCCCCAATTGAGCACGTGTGGGATATGATGGCTAGGAGATTGCTCAATTTGCAACGTCCTCCTCAGACTCTAGAAGCACTTCGAGAGGAGTTGGTGGTTGCCTGGAATGAGATACCACAGGAGGACATTGACCATCTGATCAGAAGCATGTCTAGGCGCGTTGGAGAATGCGTAGTACATCAGGGTGCATCCACACATTATTAAAGGTCAAAGGGCTTTAAAGCAGTGCAATCATTTTGAAATTTTTATCATTTACTTATTATGCTTCATTAAGTACTTATACAAAATTTTATTAAAATAAAACCATTTAAACTGGGTGTTCGGATTTATATGTCACTTAGTACAATTTATTTTTTACAGATGCCCGAAAGTACAGAGGAGTGGAGAGTAATAGCAATACAATTCAACGATATTTGGAATTTTCCACAGTGTGTAGGAGTAATGGATGGAAAACATATCATGATTCAATCTCCAGAACACAGTGGAAGCGATTTTTTCAATTATAAATCATTTTTTAGTATTGTTCTTTTTATTGTTGCTAATGCAAATTACGCGGTGATATGAATGTTGGCTACCAAGGACGCATATAGGATGGTGGTGTTTTCGAAAACACTCGTTTCAAAAAGATGTTGACGCAATGTAAACTCAATTTACCTAATAATGAAAAACTTCCAGGTAGAACCACTACTGTCCCTTATGTCTTTCTAGGTGGTGATGCTTTTCCATTATTACCAAATTTGATGAAACCTTACCCGAGTGCTCAAGAAAAAGGATCACAGGAGAGAATATTTTACTATAGACTCTCAAGAGCACGAAGAGTGTGAGAAAACGTGTTCGGAATATTATCAGCACGATTTAGAGTTCTTAGGAAAATAATATTACTTGACCCATCGAAAGCGCAGATAATTGTCACTACTTGTATTTATTTACACAATTATTTGCGAAAAAGTAAAAACTCAAGGGCAACATACACCCCACCTGGAACTTTTGATTCTGAAGATAAAGACACCGGTAATATTATTTCTGGGGGTTGAAGAAAAGAGATGCAAAATGATATACTATTTCAAAATTTAAGTAAGATAGCTCGAAAATCAAGTAATACCGCTAAAGAAATGAGACAAGGATTTG